AGGAAGGAAGGAAGGAAGGAAGGAAGGAAGGAAGGAAGGAAGGAAGGAAGGAAGGAAGGAAGGAAGGAAGGAAGAAATTCAGTTTTAGTCTGAGGTGAAAATGCTAAGGGGCCAGGGTTTTACAGTTATTTGTAATGTCTTTATTCCACTCTGCTTTAGTTTTAAAATCTTGATTATATTAAGCTGTTAGCTTAGCTAGATTTATTCCAGAAACATCATTTCAAATCACTCATTTTTGACCAGTACTAAACTACTAATCCAGTACAAATGTATGTTAATGAATTAACACATTTTGAATTATTGACCAAGATTTATTTCAAGAAGAAAGCCAAGCCTATACATACATAAATATGCTTGCCATGTTCTATAATTCTTTCAATACTGTTCAAAGCATTTCGTAAATGACTAAAAAGGAAATCGACCCTGAAGCTAAAATATATTGGCCACCTAATGAGAAGAGAGGACATGTTGGAAAAGTCCCTTGATGTTGGAAAACCATCATCATGAGGAATTGATTTTTTCATGACAAGAACTGAGAGAAATGTCGAGACATTTCATCCACTTTGAGCTAAAGATAAGACCTTTAGGGTCAAAAAATGAAATTCTGTTGTCTGCTCTCAAAGAAAGTATATACTACCTATATCCATACACAATACACCTATACACATGCTTCACACACACACACACACACAAATATTAATCACTGTCCATTTTGAATATATAGTGGAAAGAGGAAGCTTGAGAGTTCATGAGGTTGATATTGTATGGAACAAAACTGTGACTGAATCTGGATGTTCTGCTTCAGGTACCACAAAGCCCCCTCCCAGAAGGTAACAAGGAAAACAGGTCATGAAAGGATGGGTAGCATTCCAGACAATCCTGCAGACCCTGCTCAAGCATCGCTTACATGCCGTGTCCTGGATAGAAGGAAGTGAACCGGGATGGTATTCTACCGGTTTGTACTGGTTCCATAGAAGCGGTTGTTATGATTCTGTGCAGTTCAGAGAACTGGCAAATTGTGCCCCTGGCTGGCCCTGTCCCTCTCCACCCACCCCTCCCAGTCAGTCTTATCGCATATGCGTGATATCGTGCACATGCCTGACATCGCTGACTGTGTTCTCCCCTGCCCAATCACTCCTTGAGGTATTTCTCCCCCCCTCCCCACGAGCAGCTGTTCTGATGATCAGCTGTGCCAGGATCCCCCTCGCTTTCTTACTGCTTCTCTCAGGAGGCTTCCCTGAGGCCCAGAAGGCAAAAAAAAGGGGGGGGGAGGGAGTGCTGCAAAAAAAAAAAAGAAGCCACGCCCTCCCAGTCATATGGCCACACCCACCTAGACACGCCCACAGAACCACTTGTTAAAAAATTTGAATCCCACCCCTGAAGTGAACTACCAATAAACTTTTCTGCAATCCTCACCACTCCCTGCACCGCCTTCCCGTCTGAAGCAATAATGCTTACAAACCAGGCTGTAATGCAATTATGACAGCATGCTCTCGGTCGTCCCTCTATAGAAAGTGGTAAGGACAGGAGGAGGAAGATGTACTTTTCTCATATGACACAGAAATTGCAGGCACTGCTGTGCCCGCTTCACCAGTCTCTTGGTGTTGAGCCACCAAACTAGCCTACTCGTTAGCTGTACACACAGAAACTGGATGCTGCTAAGCTAATCTAATACGCGGCATCAGAGAGAATAATATTTCAAAATACTGGAAAACCCTGGGATAATCTATAACCATTCCTGCAATGAGACTAAGCAGCTCAGTGAGAGATGCAGCCATGTAACTGGGAGGATAATACATTGAGCACCACTGAATATGGCCAGCTATGGAACAATGTTGCAATGGCCATGTTCTCCGGATACACAAGGGCCTGATAATGCCCATTATGTATTATTTGGTGTCCCTGCTACTGAGAGCCCATTGCTTCATCTCCTTCACACTGCTGGTCCAACCTTTTAAAGGAACAGGTTTACTGAGTTCCATCTTCTTGGCCTATCGAGCATCCACTTTTTTAAAAAAAATTGATATACATTATTATGACCTGCACAGTTATTAGTTTTTAAAAAGAACTGCTTTTTTCAAATTTACTGCTAAATTTTGATTGTGTATGCAGGTGTCCCAGTTAAGTAATACAGCAAAATACTATCATAAAAACAAAACCATAAGATCACGACTGCAAAACTCAAAAAAAAAAAAAAAAAGACACTAGGTGGCAGCTATGGATTTTTTAAAATTCTTGTCTGGACTTTTGTAGCTCAGGTCTGACACAGTAGTCATACAGAGAAGATGATTGGCTTTAATCTGATCGGTTACAGACCCAGGTGGTTGCACAACATGTCAAACTTTGTATTATTAATCTTGGTTATTGTTTGTGGCTCTTTTTGGATTAAATGTAGCATGTGAACTCAGGCAAATAGGTTCATTCAAGAAGCAAGTATGTTGCCTGCAGTTCTCTCCACTTGAGATAGTAGATACAACGATGCACACAAACAGAAAAGGGAAGGAACATTAGGCCTGAAGAATATATCAAAGGTGGAGTTTGTGCACACTGCTTATTTCTCATTCGTTAATTTCTTGAGGTTTTTTTTTTTTTTAAAAAAAAAACGAGTCCCCGACTGAAGTCAGATCTAAATTGCTATTGTATCCTGAAACCTGTAGGGCAGAGCTGTGCAACCTTGGTAACTTTTAAAGACTTGTGGACTTCAACTCCCAGAATTCGCCAGCCAGCATGTGAATCAGCATGAGTGGCTGGGGAATTCTGGGAGTTGAAGTCCGCAAGTCTTAAAAGTTGCCAAGGTTGAACACCCCTTTTCTCTAAGGGCCAAAAAGGAGGCGAAGGGCTGATGCGCACGCGATATTAAGCTATAGAGTGATTTGTGCGGTTGGCTTTAGCGCGACGGTCATGTCTTAAATTCAGACTTCGTAATCGTGGTCCGCCCCTCCCTCTTTCCCTTCCCTCACTTTCTTAGGGGACCTGATCGGTGCTGTTCCGCTCGACCCGTTTTTCCGCCTCTTTCCTCGGGCCGGGTCGCCCCGAAGATCGAAAACAACACATCGATTATTCCGCGAAGGCCACGAAACCCCCTCGCCCTCACCCCTTCCCCACCCCTTTCTCAGGATTGGGCGGCTGGAGGGAGGAGACGGCGCTCCTCTCCTTCCCCCCCGCTTTGCGGAGTGGGCGGCTGGCACTAGTTCCGCGTAGTAAAGGAGGTGGACCTGGGAAGCGTCGGGACGGCCTCCGCCGTTGCCAGTTGTGCCCTTCCCCTCTCAAAAGGACTGGATCGGCCACCGCTTCCTCCTCTTCTTCTGCCAGCGCCAACGCCACAGCCGTTTGCCATCATGACAGACCGGTCCACCTTCGACACCAATGTGACCACTGTGACCCGGTTCGTGATGGAGGGAGGCAGGAAAGCGCGGGGCACCGGAGAGCTCACTCAGCTGCTCAACGCGCTCTGCACGGCCGTCAAAGCCATCTCCACCGCCGTGCGCAAGGCGGGCATTGCCAACCTGTAAGTTTGCACAACGGCTCTCTGGCTGGCAAAGCCAACGGGCAACGGGCCGGGCGATGAACCCCCTGGAGCATCTTCTCCCGAGTTTCTCTTGAGATCCAGGGTGCTGCTTGAATGGGGATGACGGGGTGCTGGTACCTTGAGCATTGCTGGAGACTCGAAAATGGACAGCTTCCCAAAGGTCCCGTGGCGGTTGTTAGGTTTCTCGTGATAGGCAGCAGGGATCGTCTTCTCCCCATTCAGGACAGGACAGGTGTTTGACTAGGTGACTCTGCCAGGTGTCAGAAGGAGCCTGGAGCCTGCTAGGTTACTCAGAAGGCAGATGCTAGAAAGAGAGAGACAGGATGTTGTCCCGACTTATTTCTCTGCCTGGAAAAAGACAGGGCACCTGAGCAACAACCTTTTCTTTCTCAGCTGCTCAATTTCATTCTGCCCCCTCTTCAGATGGAGTGTGTGGAGCCCCCTCAAACACCTACTGGAATGGCCTCGTGTTCACCTTCATTTGTTCTGTGTGTGTCCCATCCTTCCTGATCTTTCTCTTCTTGAGAAAGTTGTGTTGGTGGTGGCCCCTTCCACCGTCTACCTAGATTCTTCTCTTGGACACCCAGGAATTAGCCCCATCAAAGCCCCATCGCTCTTCCATACCAAGCCACCCTGAAAGGGAGAAGGGACTTAAACCAGCAAGTTCTCTTGCTGAGGGCCCAAAAAGAGACGGTCTTTTTTGAGAAATAGGACATACTTGCAGCCATCATTGGCCTGGCCCTTCCTGCACATTTTGTGGTATGCAATATTGTGGATGATTGGATTCTGCCTTAGCTTGACGTGCAAATTCAGCAGCTATGAATTGTAAATTGGAGCTTGCTGTTACATATGTAAGAAGGAAGTCATGATTTATTCAACAAAGTATTAAATAACTATGCCTTAGTCCAATATATAAATTTTTCAGGCAGCAGTTGTCTTCTTTCACAGTTTCAGAGTGAATCTTGCCTTTAATTGCTCAACCTGCTTCTGTCTCTGGATTAATCTTGATGGATTTCATGGCCACAACATTCAGCTATATAAATCTTGTCCTCTGTATCTACCGCCAAGGGAGAGCAAGCGTATGGCCAATTATGCAGCTTGTATTCCTTCCTAGGATGTGCCTGTTTTCCTCCATGATTTTCAGAGAAGGGTGTCTGCATATGATCCATTATTACTTGTCCCCTCTCATTTGCCAAAATATGACTCCAGAATCTATTCTAGAGTCCAGTGTCCAAACACCCTTTCCTTAAATTCTACTCCTGGGATTCTGTAGCTCGCCATGATCCATCAAAATGAAAACTAATACAACATAGCTGAATGACTCTTTGGAATTTGGAACCTATTCTTCAGCTGGGCCTTTCTGAACCAGGATTTCTGTCTTGTCCTCTAATTTGCTATAGTTTATTATTTAGCATTAGAATCCAACCTTTCTTCTTTTATTTTGCCAAAACCCTGTAATTCATCAATCTAATTTTTGTACTTATTAACTTTCCTGGAATATCAGCTAATCTATTTTGCCCTCCTGCAATTTGTGCTAGGAATGATGAGTATTGTATTTCCAGCAAACTACAAGCTGCCTTTTCTCATGTAACTACTCAGTCTGTATTTTCATTGAAGAGACTAGAAGAAGAAAGGATTTCCCACTTATTTTACAAGTGTACTTATGCCTTTTGGGTACAAAAACCAAACTGTGATTTCCTGTTAATGAATCTATATTCAATGTTAGATATATATGACATTAGAAAATCAGTTTCTTATATATTTAACTTGTATTATTTATTCAGATACTTCACTGCAGTAAGTCCTGTCATTTAAATTAGGGTTACTTTCCAAGTAAATAGATGTACAATCACAGTTTTGGGCTTGTTCTACCCTCTTTTTAGTCTAACATCATTTAGTAATTAGAAAAATAAGTTCAGTTTGATAGAAATTATCTAATATTACATCAGAACATTAGGGGAAAAAAGCACTCACTTAGAAGGTTTTGATCAGTAGAAGGTTGAAGGTAGAACCTCAATCACCCAACTATCTTTGGGTGGAGGGGGGCAAAAGGTAAACTCAACAACAGTAACTTTGAAGTGTATGTAAATGTCCTGCAATTGTGTTAATTGTCTTGGGAACAAGTTATGAAGCAAGTGCAACCATTTAAGGCCACCTCCCATAGGAAGTGGCAAACTGAAGAGACAGCTGTTGCCTGCCTGATGTGCACATCTATGTGGACATACTTTGTATTTCTTAATGAAGAACTTTGCTTATGTTTGCCCTTCTTTTAGTGCAATTGGGAAATAAGCAAAGTTGACCCATCAGATAATAATTGGGCACTGTGTGATCCTCTTATTTGGGTAAAGTTAATATGTGATTCAGATAACATCTTGGTAGATTTTCTTACTATGAGCTCTTGGAAAATACTCCCATATGTGCAGGTATATATGGACAGCATGATCATATTTGGATATGAATTCATATGTGAATTTTAAATATTCTAAATCTTAGGTTTGATAACTCAAGTGTTTATAAAAAGCAGCTGAATTTGCACATCAAGCTAAGGCAGAATTTTCTATTTAAAAAAAAATTAGCAAGGACTTGTTAGCTCATTTGTACAGCAATGCTGCCTTGGAGCAAGATTGAATTCTCAACTTACAACCATTCATTTAGTGACCATTCAAAGTTACAATGGCACCGAAAAAAGTGATTTATAACTGTTTTTTACACAACCATTGCAACATCATCATGGTCAGGTGATCAAAATTCAGACGCTTGGCAACTGGCATGTGTTTATGATAGTTGCAATGCCCCAGAGTCTTATGTTCCCCTTTTGCAAACTTCTGACAAGCAAAGTCAATGGGGAAGCCAGGTTCACTTAACAACCCCATACTAATTTAACAACTTCACTTAACTCTGGCAAGAAATGTTATAAAATGGAGCAAAGTTCACTCAACAGCTTATCAATTGAAATTTTGGGCTCAATTACGGTTGTAAGTTGAGGGCTACCTGTATCACACAGCATCATTGTGCTTGCTGAGGCCATACAGCTAGGTTTCCCATTAAATTTAGTACTATGATATTCTGAAAGGACCAAACAAACAACAGATTCATCCAATGATTGAAAGGCTTACATCATTTGGCAGCTAATAATAACTTACTCTGCCCCATTGATTTTCAACAGAAAGCAAAACTTGCGCCCACTTTTCTTTTCTTTTTTTAAAAGTTGAATAACAACCAAAACTACTTGTTCAATGATGGTGGGCTGGGGGACTATCAAATATATGTCCATCTTAGCCTTTACCACCCTTGCGCTCTCCACTTTTTCGGGAATACAGTTAATTGCCTGAATTCTCAGTTACACCATGGGATTCTTTTAAAAAAGGAATAGATTTTTACTGTTTTATGGTTATTCCCAGATAATTATAGTGAAATATATGGCTTATGGCTCTGGCAATTTTCACCAGTTTCTGAAGAAAGATATAAAAGATGAAAACGAGCAATATTGGTGGTTAGGGAAATTTGTAGATAATGTGGGGCCAAATAATAGCAACTTTTAGAATGCTCACTTGTGTAATGTTGAGCATTATTATTTTCTCATTGTATCATAAGCTATCGGTTGCCCTAATATATCTAGAACAGGGGTGGGCAAACTACGGCCCACGGGCTACATCCGGCCCGTTGGTCATTTTAATACGGCCCGCCTCTGAAAAAAATATATTCCCCTCTGAAAAAAAAAATCAGGGCCAGCCAAAAGAGACCCTGCGCCGTGCGCCAAAAAATCGCACACACAACACGGAGCTGGGCAGCCGCTTCCCTGGTGGCGGGGCCGAGGTCGCCGCCCGGGGAACACCCACTGCTTTCCCTCGCCAGGGCCGGGCGGTGGCGTGTTGCCCTGCGCCGCGTGGCCCCCACCTGGCAGCGCGTTTCTCGGCTGGTCTCCTCCTCCTCGGCCATACAGAACAAACAGGCAGAGAAGGAGGAGACCAGCCGGCTGGTTGGGGGAAGCTTTCTGCGCCGAAAGAGGCAGCTACTAATCTCCAGCTTTGCTCCACTTCTCCAATGGTCCGGCACCACCCTGTTCTATGCGCTGGCTGCTCGGACTTGCTGGGCCTGACACATAGAACAGAGCAGCGCCGGATGTTGGAGAAGCAGAGCGGAGCCGGAGATCATTAGCCGCCTCTTTCGCAGCACAAGAAGCCTCCCCCAACTGGCCGGCTGCTCTCCTCCTTCTCTGCCTGTTTGTTCTGTATGGCTGAGGAGGAGGAGACCAGCCGCCTGGTTGGGGGAAGCTTTCTGCACCGAAAGAGGCAGCTACTAATCTCCGGCTTTGCTCCGCTTCTCCAATGGTCCGGCACCACCCTGTTCTATGCGCCGGCTGCTCGGACTTTCTGGGCCTGACACATAGAACAGCATGCTGTAGGAATCTTGCGACAAGCCCCAGGACATGTGGTCACCTGCTGGCTGGCCGGGCCAGGCCGGGCTGGAAGAGGCACGTTCTCCAGGAGAAGGAAGAAAGCGTGCTCTGGGAGGGCGGGTGCCGGGCAGGTGGGCGGATGTTCCGGGACCACTTAAAGGTCGACTTTAAGAGTGCCCCCATGGAAGAAGCCGAGCAAACGTAGTGGCGGCAGGGGTGACAGGGCATGTGTGTCCCTCCACAAGGAGTATGAAGGGAGGCAGACACCGCACCTCTCAGGAAAAAAGTAGGTGCCAAAGCCCTGGTTGTCACCTAGGAGGGGACCGTGGAGGGACCCATCACATGCCCTTGTTGCCCCCGCCACCTCTACTTTTGTTCTCGTTCTTGGCTTCTTCCATGGGGGCGCTCTTAAAGTCAATCTTTAAGCTGGAAGACGTTTTGTTAGATCACCACCAACTCATCGTTGGGAGAGGTGTAGCCCCTGAATACACGAGAAGTCTTGGGTAAAGTTCTCTGACTTTTAAAATGCATCCGTGCGGTGTTTGCCTCCCTTCATGCTCCTTGTGCATGCCGGGAGCACCTAACTGGAGCAAAAGAGAGCGAAGTTGACTGCTATGAAATGAGCACCTTGGCTTCCCCTCTTGCTCCTCACAGTTGCCCTGAGCTGGTGTGGTTCTTTACTTGGGCAGCCAGACGCCCGCAGCAGCGCCCGCAGCAGCAACAGGCAGTTCCGCCCTGGCTCCGCTCAGGTGTCCGGCTGGGGCTGTCAGGAGTTGCTACCGCCGGCGCAGCTCCGCGCGCCTCCAGTCCCGCGTTGCCTTGGGAAGGGAAAGGCAAAACCAGGAGCCGCTGAGCCTGAGCCTCCGGTGCCGCTGCTGCCGTTGCAAAGCACCGCCATGGCTCTTCCTTTTTGCCTTTCCCTTCCCGAGGCAACGCGGGACTGGAGCCACGCGGAGCTGCGCCGGCAGTAGCAACTCCTGACTCAGGGGGCCTCCGAGGGGAGGAGAAGGAGGAGAAGAAGGGGGAAACGGGGGGGCGATTCCCAAAAAATCTTGTGCTGACCCGGCCCGTCTGTCAAATTTTAAAAGTCAATGAGGCCCCCGAGCCAAAAAGTTTGCCCACCCCTGATCTAGAAGGTGATGTTGAGCAAGTTTGGTCTAAGATGTTAAAGCAAATTTTAAAAAAAAAGGTTACATAAAAAATTAAGAACATCGTATTAACATTTTGAGGATTACAAATGAAACATGAATATAGAAATATGAACATAGTCCATAGCTGTATTCAGACATCAAATTAAGCTTCAGTTTTGTGATCAACAATAAAACCAAAGAGGAAAGGTTTGCTTCTGATTTTGATTATGCTGTCCAGACCTGAAAAACTTAATTGTGGTTTGTCTAAAATAGATCACATTAACTCAGGTTGACTCAGCCTTCCATTCTTCCAAGGTGGATAAAATGAGCACCCAGATTGTTGAGGGCAATATGCTGACTCTGTAAACCACTTAGAGAGGGTTGTAAAACACTATGAAGCAGTACGTAAGTCTAAGTGCTATTGCTATTGCTATTGCTAAACCATGTGGCCTCACCTGGATTTTGGCAAATTATGTTTAACACTGCAGGCAAAAGTTTAGATGACACGCTAAATTGCAATTAATGTTGGTGGGACAGGGACACTTCTGAAATGTCTGTACTGGAGGACAGAAAACAGGGAAGTCCATAAAAGCTTGAATTTATTATGCAATTTCTGTTCAAGATAAACTAGGATCAGTGTCATATGTGATATGCATTACCTGCCCATTTTCATTTAGAACCCTAAAAAATAATGTCGGATGTAACCCTAATTCAGGGAAAAGGGAAGAAGAATTAAAACTTGTGAAGATCTATGTGAGACATTAGAATCATAATTAATTTTAAACTGCCTGAGAGATTCATTTAACGCACATACACACTCATACACACACACATTTTCTAATCTTTTTTCTTCCTTTCAGCTATGGACTTTCTGGTTCTACCAATGTGACAGGGGACCAAGTAAAGAAGTTAGATATTCTTTCCAATGACATGGTGATCAACATGCTGAAATCATCATTCTCCACTTGTGTCATTGTGTCAGAAGAAAACAAAGAAGCAGTCATAGTGGAAGACGACAAACAGGTCAGTATCTCTGATAAATTCCCCAGTGCAGCATTGAGCAACAGCTAGTTTTTAAAATGGGTAAACTTTAACCCAAAATGCTGACTTCAAAGGCCAAAGAGCAGAACCCTCTGAAGACACACACACACACACACACACACACACACAACAAAGGCGGGGGGAATTAGAATCAATGGGCAATAACCCTAAACCAGCCCTTCACTAAGCTTAAGTCACATATTGGCTGCATATAATCCAATACTCAAACCTAATGGCCAATATATGGAGGGCACTAGGTTAAATTTCAGAGGGCAACCTTATAGTTCCTTCATAATGCTAATCCAAGGGCAAAAAGGATTGATCAAAAAGCAGAAGGTGATGCTATATAATCAATCACTTGAAAATGTCTCAAGGTATTATTTCAATCCACACATAGCTGCATTTTTTCTCTGTTATTATTTTCAGCCATTATGGCTTTCATTACGGTAATCAACATTTTTACCAACTTGGGTTTTTGGGAGTGTGTGTGTGTGTGTGTGTATGTCAGGGTTACAAAAAAAAATGTCATTGAAAAAGTGTCACCACTTTTCCGCGAGATTGAGAGCATGAGTTTTGAGACACCTGAAGCCACTGAAATCACAGGTGGACAGTGAGCCATAAGTTCCTTATCTTTACTTGAACATTTTAAGTGTATCAAATCTGGAAGTGAATTGTACAAAAGATTTGTTTGGAAGAATTATGCAGGCTATACTAAAAATCCCTTTCAGCTCTTGTCCTTTTCCACTGCATGCACTGCTGTACATTCATTACCTTCACAGATTTAGGGTTGGGAGCATGAACAACAAAGCTCAGTTAAACCAAGTTAGATATTTTTCACTGTGCTGCTTTGCCATTCAACTGTCTCGGGTGGGCAGCAAAGGACAGTTATCTGAATTTAACAGAGGCAGGAACATCAACCAAGAAATTTTTAAAAAACTGAAGATCACACAATGGAATGCTAATTTTGGGGAGGGCAAATTTTGCATGATGCATGGAAAGAAAGGGAAAAGGGTCCCAATATACAGTCTCCATCCTGACCTATTTTGACCCTCTTTGAGATGATTTTATTGAGGGCCTCCTCAGTCTGATCTTTTTCTAAGTATTGGTCTAGTCTTTTCTGGATTGTTGACTTCTGCTTGACTGGAGAGCTGCGTTAGGATCAGGACTTTTTATTGTATTTCCTACATGCAGGAGTGACCTCTTGCATTTAATTAAACACAAACCCAAATCAAACAACAATTTTCCCTTTTGAGAAATGTATGGCTTGATTATTTCAGGATTATGACATTTCTTCCTCATTTACAGTTTGGAGTCCATCAGCCTGAGATCAGTTAATAGTTCAAACCTTTCATTTTAGATAGGAAAATGGGAAAAGTTGCCTACTTTCTCCCCAAATATATTATTTTGTCAAAGTATTTAACAATAAAGCAAGCATGAATTTTTGTTCTTTAAAAAGTTATTTGAATATTCTTTTCTTGCAGGGTAAATATGTTGTCTGCATTGACCCACTTGATGGTTCTTCTAATATTGATTGCCTTGTTTCTATTGGAACCATTTTTGCTATCTATAAAAAGGTAGGATATATTGCATGGTTGCTAAATATCAAAGAGGAGGAGGAGGGGAAAGAGGAGGACCACTTTTATATTAGACTAATTTGTGACCAAATTTCTGATTATGTTCCTGTTAAAGCTTCTCAAATCCACAAGTAGCAATGATAAGTTTTAACTGGGGCCATAAATATTGTGACAGGATTTACACTTTGTTTAACCACATTTTATTAATTAAGCAACAGTTGATTGGATTCACCCATTATATTTAGTCAAAACCAAACAAACCGTATTATCACTTAGCTCAATATATGAATCCAAGGAGCTGAAGCTCAAAGACTTTGGCCTTCTAATGAGGAGAGAGGATTCATTGGAAAAGGCCCTGATATTGGAAAAGATTGAAGGCAAAAGGAGAAGGGGATGGTAGAGGATGAGATGGTTAGATAATGTCATCAATGCAATGAACATGAATTTGGCAAACTCTGGGAGACAGTGGAGGACAGAAGGGCCTGGTGTGCTACAGTCCCATGCGGTTATGAAGAGGCAGAGGTGACTTAATGACTGAACAACAACAACATGAACTCAGAGCCTGTTTAGAAACAGTGAGTGGGAGTCCTGTGTAGATGGATGTTCCAGAAGAATGTGTAATAACTTTTCACCTCCAATCCAAAGTTAAGAGCCTGTGATTACTGATTCCAGCAGTTCACAGTTTCAAGTGAAAACAGGTTTAACCATTACTACTATATTTTAAAAAATCCATTTCTGATAGGAAGACCATAGCTGGGTTAACTTACCATAGTATGTAAACCACAATGCCTGTGTCACAAAACATGTTAATTGAAAATCAAACTATATAAATCATGCTGCCATGTAGTAAATAAACTCCAACTGTGTTTGAGCGGATACAGTTTTTTCTTTAGTCATTGTGATTTGCAACTATTTGTTTTCATGAGTCAGGCCCATAGGATGTAATGGTGCAGGCAGCCTTTTCAGAAGGGGGAAGTGATCTTGCACATTGGGAGCAAAGTCACAATGTAAACTTCCAAGTAGCTAGACCAGTAGGTTTGATTAATCCCTGTAGGCATCTGATATGCACAGTGGAACAATAAGTATAGTAAGAGTGCATACCATTTTATAGGCAGGTGACCTGATTGAAGGAACTTGAAATTCTAGATGAGCATGTATTTAAATATATATTGTACACTGATAGTCTTTAGATGCAATACTCTACTATTTGTTTTAATTATTCATTATCTTGCAGATTATACACAAGGTTTAAAAATACTGAAAATAGAAAAATCAGGATCAAAATAAGGAAACTTTGGGTTGAAAACACAGCTAATAGCTAGCTCCTTCTTTCCTCCTATTACTTGTAGAGTGCAAGATGGGAGACACTTATTGGGGGTTTTTCCCATATGGAGATAGAATGTTTAATTTCTTCTTTTAGATTCTGTTTTGCCTTCTATTTAAAAATAAACAGCAAAATTTCCTTGGCCAATTACACGAATTAAGAGATAGTGGGGTGGGAATTAAGATGGGGAGGAGCACTAATGCTGACATTGAAGAATTGTACACGCTCTATAGTGAGTGAGTGTAGTACTGTGTGGTGTTATTGGAAAAATAGATTCCATTCAGCTTTGAGTGTAAAGAAGAAGGTAATTCCTTGATATCCTTGGCTCTCAAAAGCATTATTTTCATTTAGGGATAATTATTGTTAGATATCCATAAACTGTAATTCCTAGCAGCTCCATCAAGTGTGGCAGTTAGAATGCTGGCAGATGAGGTTCAGTAACATATGGAAATTATAAGGAAGAAATCATAGAATTATGAGGGATGGTGCAGTGGCTCAATGGTTAAGATGCCCAGGTTGAAGACCTGAGCACCATGTAATGGGGTAAGCTCCAGTCCTGCCAATCCAGCAGTTCGAAAGCATGCACATACGAGTAGATAAATAGGTACCACTTTGGTGGGAAGGTAACAGCATTCTGTGATGTGACGCTGGCCACATGACTGCGGAAATGTCTTTGAACAGAGCTGGCTCAATGGCTTTGAAACAGAGATGAGCACTGCCCCCCCCTCATAATTGGCAATGACTAGCAGAGTAAAATCTGCAAGGACTCTACCTTTTTACATAGTATTATGGCCATGAGGAAGTATGAGCAACATAAGGAAGCTATTTCTTAATATTAGGAACCATCTGATAACGGAGCTAGAACTGAAGGCATCATATTTAGCAATGCTCAAGATATTTGTTGGCAAAGTGGTAGTTTTTATGAGTATGACAGCATATTTCAAATTATGTGTTGTCCTGAAAAGAAAATACTGCCACCAGTGAACTGAAAAGAATCACAGTATAGCAATGAAACACTTCTCATCAGTTGCATAAGAGTATTGAAATTTCCAGCTTCTAAACTTATTTTACTTATTATTCAAGGTTTCTCCTGGTGCTCCTTGTGAAAAGGATGCTCTCCAGTCTGGTCGCAATCTGGTGGCAGCTGGTTATGCCCTGTATGGAAGTGCTACTATGCTTGTCTTGGCCCTGGAATCTGGCGTCAACTGTTTTATGCTCGATCCGGTAAGAGACATCCTGGGAATCCTAAGATTGATGATTGCTTGCTTGAGGTCTTGCAATCCTTAATTTGCAAAATGAAACAACCATCAATAAGATAAATACTACATTGGAGTTTGCATATTATGCCTGGTACAGGTAGCCCTTGCTTAACAGGCAGTCATTATACAACTGTTTGAACCTATTATGGACACAAAAATGAGTATTTTACATAATTTTATTATAACAATGCAATGTTCAGTAGTTTAAGCAATGAACAGGGTAAAACTACATAAAAATCATACATGATCACTGTGAAATTGATTTTTGTGATTTTTGTGACAGACATTCATACGTAATAGATTGCAGAGTATACCCTACAAGGAAGCCTACTTCTTGTTGTCTTTATGTACTTGGTGTTTCCAGTAAAAGAATTTGGCAGGGTGGGTGTTAATTTTTGGTTCTTCAGATTATATTTTTCCAATCTGGTGTGCAGGGATCCCTGCTTCTTTTTACTATATCAAGGGGCATTTGATATGGGGGGGGAGACACCTTCATCTAGGTTAGGATCCTAGCGAGGATTTATATATATGTTGCTATGATCCTAATCAATGCTAGCATCCCAATTTGAACCAGATCTCCATTCTTGATTTGGAATAAGAAAAGAGCAAATGAAATTGCACATGTCTTGTCAAATATAATATACAATTTAACACTTAGGAAAGGAAGCCAGAAAGCAATGGGATTTTTGAAATGTGCACAGGCAATATTTTAAAATTAAATGATGAAGATCAACAGAAACGTAGGCTATTTGTCAAACAAAGGTGATCATTGTGAATGAAAATCAGGGCAGAAGTAAGGGTGGCTGGGAAGTTTAACTGGCACGCAGTGCTTTAACACAGAGTTTGCATTGGAACTGATTTAGAGTTAGAAGGCAAAATACATGAAAGAAAGGAAAGTAAATGCTGTTAAGAATGAAATGATAGTGTAGGTTTTTTTAAAAAAAATAAATTGTTACAAGAATTACAGAAATCCACTTACCTTCTAAAAGAAATTTATATATATATATATATATATATATATATTCTTAAGTTTTCACGGGTACTTACATGTATGGCATTCAGCTTTGTTCGGGTATCCTCCCACGTCATAGTAGCTGTGCTTTTAAAGTTGTAGCGACGTTTCAGCAGAATCTCATCTGCCATCATCAGGCTTCTGTATATATATGACTTCCTTTATTAAAAACACTATTTAACTATCATAATTCCCTCTGTGTTCATGAGCAGAGTGTGTGATTTTTTATTTTTGTTTTAACAATCCTAGCAATTCAACCATCCATATATAGCTCCTTCCAAATCGGACTGCCTTCTGATTATCTCAAAAGTATTGTTAACACATGTTCTTGTACACTTTCAGATACACCTTGATGTCTTAAAGAGTAAGTGGCATGTTTGTGTGCGTGTGTGAGGCACCATGTACATCCTAAAGGATTTTCAAAAAAGGATATTTTTTGCATGTTCCTGCCTAGCTCATGTCATGCGATTTGCATTAGAATTGCTTTCTAGAATGTAGAAGGTAAAAATGGATGGCCATGTTGTATCGCACCTTTATTGGTTCAGATCTAAGGCACTGGAGTTAGATACTTTGCGTTTCTATAATTTCTCATAATCCATTATGTATCCTTCAAGTAGCTGCATCTAACCTGCATATTCATTTTATTCCTTTTGACTTCTAATATATATATTGGTGCTTCTGTCATAAATAATTGTGAAATTATAACCATTGCTATTTTCAAACTTTTTATGATTTATTATTGTATAATACTGAAAAATATTTTGCAATAGTTGGTTTTTACATTGTATATGTATAATTATAATCAGTAGTTTGTTTTTATATATGTATATATAGTTTTATTAAAGTAAATTTCTAAGAAAATTGGAAAGATGGTGATATAGCTGGTCATAATACAAAAGCACTTGAAATAAGATGTCCAACAATACTTTATCTTGTGATACTTTATAAAACAATTTTTACTTTACAAAAGAATTTTTTAAAAATATATTTTCAATTCAAGATGAAATATTATATCCTATTAAAATGGTATTGCTTTCTGTTTTATTTGCTAGGCAATTGGTGAATTCATTTTGGTGAACAAAGATGTAAAAATAAAGAAAAAGGGAAATATCTACAGTCTAAATGAAGGATATGCATCATACTTTGATCCTGCAGTCACGGAATATCTTCAGAAGAAGAAATTTCCCCAAGTAGGTTTTCATCAGGGATGGGATTCAAAAATCGCAACAACCAGTTCTCTGCCCGTTGCTGGGTAGGCGTGGCCATGGTGGGCGTGGCTTACCAGAACTTCCAGGGGGGCCATTTTTCATCTTCCCCAGAGTCCAGAGGCTTCCCTTGTACCTCTGGAGGGAAACTATCTCCCCCAGGCTCTGGAGGCTCTCCAGAAGCCAGAAACAGGACAATTTCCAGACTTCTGGAACTTCTGGGAGGGCTGTCTTTCGTCCTCCCAGAGCCTCCGCGTGGACCCTGCACATATCTGCATCCAAAACGGGTCGCGTGGAGACTCCTGGGTGGGGCGGGGTGGGGTGGGCAGGGCCAGACAGTTCAACTACTGATTCGGCGAACCAGATATAAATTTAACATTCGGTTCATCTGAACCGGCTGAATCCCACCCCTGGTATTTGTATATATGAGAGTCAAAGTTATAAAGGCAACCTTTTAAGTGAATATATTTAGGTTCTGCAAAGATTTGATTTAGAAATTCAAGTCACCATTTCAAAGGCAGTTTGATCTAATCTCCAAATCAAATCAAGGTTTTTCCTGATACGATTTGAACTGTTGATGATGAAAATGATTCCTTCTTAATCACTCTAAAGTTCGTGTGTTCACAGAAAGACTGTTTTTGAGACCTGGATTGATTTTCAAAATCGGATCGATTCATCTTTATGATGCTATTGAAAAACTCAAATTGAATTAATTCAGCAGTCCACACCATGTTTTTCATAATTAGGTATTGGATTTAAAGATCGTCCCTGCAATAGGGAACCTATGCATTAGATCCAGAGGAGCAGAGCCATAGGGAAGCTGTGTTTGGATGCATGGTAGACACATAAGTTATCATTATCAAACCAAAGCTTATTTTAATCTACCATTTCATTTTTCTTTCTAGGATGGTAGCCCTCCCTATGGCAGCAGGTACGTGGGTTCCATGGTGGCTGATGTGCATCGTACTTTGGTGTATGGAGGAATCTTTTTATACCCAGCCAATTCAAAGAGCCCTAAGGGAAAGGTAATATTACTAAACATATGTACCTGTATATTTGATTTTCCTGATAGTTTAGAGCAGGGGTCTCCAACTTTGGCGACTTTAAGACTTGTGGACTTCATCTTCCAGAATTCTGGGAGTTGAAGTCCACAAGTCTTAAAGTTGCCAAGGTTGGAGGCCCCTGGTTTAGAGGAGAACCCATTTTAAAAAATAAATCCAGGTGTCCCACCTTGTGCAAGAATATTGACAAAACATAGAAGAAACAATATCTATAATTTGAGTGCTCTGCTTTCTCACTTTCACTAAGCTATGCCTGGTATATTTTTGAACTTGGCTTTTTCAGTGTGCAAAAAATGAGCTCTCTGGGACCATCTTTGGTGATGGACTTTGTGCTCTACCAAAATGTACAGCTTCCTAAAAAATGAACTATGACAGAATGAAAATATGATTAAGCAGGTAGACCCTAAGTAAGATGCTTAGACTTAAGGTTACAAAATAAGGTGTTGTGAATTGTACGGAGTTTGGTATGCAGTTAATTCCTCTATCACCAGGTAGATTTTACTTTCCCTTGTTCAGAACGTTTAATATTTTTAGGTACGATTTTTAGAAGCTTTGGAAAATCAAGGCTGTACTCCACTGAGGACTTTCTTAGTATAGGTTGATATACTTATACATGTTAATATTAACTAAGTATATTAATATACTTAGTATATGTTCCACTCTGCTAAACAGTTGCTACATTTTTTATTTAAAAAACAAACTCAGAACCCATTTCTTCTTATTGAGACTTTCAAATGCCATTTGATCATAATATCATTCTTCAGAAATTGAAATGTAGCCAATAATCTCTTAGCCAATTCTTTCCCAACTCTAGTTAAACTGGGGAAGAGTCCATATTTATTCAATAGATAACTTTAATCGCTGGGAATTCTGAAATTTTGTTTGCTTTGGTTTATAGATAAGAGATAGTTACTCATTCATGCATCATGTCTCAACAAGACTTTCATGCCTATTAACCATGTGGTTCCCCCCTTTGTGCACACTTTTAGTTCTATTTTTTAAAATAAGGAATTCAAATAGCATCCATGGAAACTATTTCTTCCTTCCACAATGAATTTCCACAACAGTATGAGCAAAGGTAGCCTGAGAGACAATGGCTTGTTCTAAGATTCAAGTGTACTTCATCCAATACTATTTTTCTGGGAGTTGAACCCCCACATTTTAAAATGGTCATGGTTGAAAAACACTGCTCTATAAAAACAAATACTGTGATTAGAAAGCTGTCACAGAATGGGATGGAACCAACTTTTTCTGACTTGTTAATATGCTGGAAATATTCAATACAAAACAAATCAAATTAAACATTTATTGTCAATGCACAACATGTGTACAATAAAAATGAAATGAGCCTCCCTTGATGCAGCCCATCTCCCCCAAAAGAACACAAAATACATCTCAATAACTCAATAAATGAAAGAAATAGAATGCCTAAACCAGGGGTCTCTAACCTTGGCCACTTTAAGACTTGGGGACTTCAACTCCCAGAATTCCTCAGCCAGCTGGCTGAGGAATTCTGGGAGTTG